GCCTAGCATCTCCCTGCCGAAACTTCTTCACCCGTTTTGATCGAGTGACGGCATGGTGTGATATGATCCAACGGGGTGGTACACATGCATCATAAACACATCGACTACACTCTTCGCCTGAGAAGGAGATGCGGGGGAAGAAACCAACGTCTCACTCACTCGATCTCGCTATCGACCTCACGATCGATCACACTGTCGGTGCCGCAACCGATCTCAAATGTCGATCTCACTAACGATCTCACAATCGATGCCACTCGACCGATCTCACTATCGATCTAACAATCGATCACAAAATCGATCTCACTATCCCTCTCACGATCGGTCCCACTATCGATCTAACAATCGATCTCGCTATTGACCCCAAAATCGATAACACGATCGATCTCACGTTCGATGTCACGACTGGTTTCACGATCGATTTCACTCGGGGAGACGTAAGACTCGGGTACGAGGGACTCGGTTTGGGCTGACGGGGCCATCATAAAATTAACGACACCCAGTCTGAAATGTGACGCGAACTCCCGCTGCAAACATCCCACGAAAACTGGGCCGTCAAAATCCAGCACGCGCTCGTCTCAAAACGTGGGCAAATCCGAGCTCTGGCTTACTCGACTCTTACTTTCCCCGATTCACCATCGAGCCCACGATCGATCTCACTATGAATCTGGCAATACATCTCTCTCGATCGATATCGTTATCAATCCACATATCGATTTCACTATTGATACCACTACCGACATCACAATCGAGCTCGCTACCCCTCTCAGTACCCCTCTCGCGATCAATATCACCATCGACCTTACCACCGCTCTTACTATCGACCTAACTATCGATCTCACTATCGATCACACGATCGATCCCACTATCGATCCCACGATCGATCTCACTGCCGACCCCACTACAGATCTCACCACTATCGGCCCCACTATCGTTGTTACTATCGATCTAATAGCGATGTCAATATCAACCTCACTGTCGATCTCACTATTGACATGACGGGACACCACGGGACACAACAGGACACCACGGGACACCACGGGACATCATCGGGACACCACGGCGGCATATCCCTGGACACCGCCCCCCAACCCAGGGGCGGCGAAAGGGGCCGTCATTTGACACAGAGGCGCCCTGGGCAGAGAAGGATGCATTCCTCTCGCCCGCCCACGCAAATTCGCCTCGCCCGCACGCACGACACGAACACGAAACCGACACCGATTTCCCAGTGGTGGGCTTTCTGTGTCCCTGCGATCTCACCCCCTCGCCTCCGAAATGTGTGCGCATACCTATATGAACACGCTCGAGGTGATAAGGAGGTTGGGGGGTGGGGGGGAAGAACCAATTGCTGGCAATCGCGATGGGTGTGATGATTACGATGCTGGTGACGCGCCCTCGAGTTAGAGACGACGCGTGATGACGATGTTGTGCTGCGATATGATGTCACTATCGTCCAAGCTTTCGATCTCACCCGATCGGTCACACTATCGACCTCACAGACATTCTTACTACTAATGGATCCAGCGATCGATCCCATCGTGCTCACCTCAAAGGAGATCGCCTGTCCTCGCGAGATCTGCACGACACAAAGGACGTCACCTCCATGCACATCCGACAGCGCAAACACAACTAAGTTCACAATCAACCTCACAATCGATCTCACTTTTGATCTTACCGTCCGTCCCATCCGAACGATCTCATTATCGATCGCACGATCGACCTCCCTATCGATACCATGGCGGAACACCCCGGGCCACCACCCGCCCACCGCCGACAAAACACCGCCAGGACACTAGAAGACACCATGCGCCCACCAGGGGCGGAGGGGCGGTCCACTGCATCCGCATCGCCCCAGCGACGGCAGGGTCATTCCGCTCGCACGTCCGCGCAGCCTCGCCCCGCCCGCACGACACGACCACGAATACGACACCAAGACCGGTTTCCCGGTGGGGGGCTCTCCGCTCCACTTCGATCTCTCCCCCAACCTCCGATAATGGGACCGTTCGCGATCAAGCACGTGTCAGTACAATGTGCGGCAAGCCGATGTGTTATTGTAGTGCACACGTGCGTATCCTTCGGTCAACCATCGCGCGATGATCTAGCATATGATGAGCCTATACAACCACCCCTCGTGTGATAAGAAGGTTGATGGGTGGAGGGGAAGAAAAAACTGTCAACAACTGCAATGGCTGTGCTAATGACGATGCTGGTGATGCGTGATGTGCCCTCGAGTTGGCGCGAGACGAGTGGTGACGATGCTGCGCCGCGATGTGATCCCACTATCGACTGTCGATCCCTCTCGATTGATCTTACCACGGGACACCGACGGGACACCGACGGGGCACCGACGGGACACCAACGGGACACCGACGGGACACCGACGGGAAACCAAGAAAACACAGACGGGGCAGCGACGGGACAACGACGGGCCAGCGACGGGACAGCCACGGAACACCGACGGGACACCCACTACGGCGGGACAACCCGGGCCACCGCCCGCCCACCGCGGGGGAGAGGCGGACAGCGACTGGACACCACGGCGGGACAACCCGTTCCACCGCGCGCCCACCAAGGAGGGAAGAGGGGCGGTCAACGGCTCTTGACCCGCCCTAACCACAGCAAAGTCATCCTTCTCGCCCGCCCACGCAGCCTCGCCTCGCCCGCACGCGCGACACAAACCCGAAACCGAAACCGACTTCCCGGTGAGGGGCTTTTCCGTTCCACTTCTACCTTCCCCCCGAAGCTCCGCTGTACATGATACACGCTATAGTCACATTTGTGCACAAATCATGCGGCTCTGAATCATGTGATGCACTACCTGTCAATCGAACACATGCTCATTCCACAGATGACTGCACCCCGTGCTGTACCCTGAACTGCTGATCTGACGCCTACCCACGACCCCGACCGTACACTTGGAACACGTATGCAGCAGTACTGTGCTGGTGGTGCTGGTGATGGTTGTGATGGCAGTGGCGATCATAGAGGATGTGCAGTGAGACGCGGTAGTCATACACCCTGCGAAATGCTTAAGAGATCATGGGTTAAGAAATTCATAGTCTCAGAACTTGAATAAAAACCCAACATTTTTTTAAAAAATCTTAGGATTTACATTGAAACGTTAAGAATAATCGAGACTCTGGCCGAAAATTTAAGTTTTCTTAAGCATCGCCTAAGGTGTAGCACACGCAGTAGCGGTGGTGGAGATCGTCGGAAGGTGGGGGGGGGGATCCGCCGACTCCCGCTTGCCGGGGGGTAAAGGGGCGCGCCAGACCCCTGCTCCTCCTCCCCGGGCACTTCGGGGGCAGCGTCGGGAGGATCTCCTCCTCCTCCTCCTCCTCCTCCTCCTCCTCCTCCTCCTCCTCCCTTCTCCTCCTCCTCCTCCTCCCTTCTCTTCCTTCTCCTCCTCCTCCTCCTCCTCCTCCTCCTCCTGCTTGAAGGGTTGGGGGGGAGGAACGACCTCCGCAGCGCGCCTTCCAGGTCCGCAGGGCCGCCGACTCAACTCTGGGACGTCCCAGGCCCAACGACGCTCCAGGTGGGCACGAGGCCTCCGAAGGACACCCCCAAGAGGCCATCATCTTCAAGAAACCGATGTCGGGTTTCCAATCGTGTGGCACCTTCTCGCAAGTTTGCATACACGGGCTTCTGGGACCTCAGGATGGCTACACGGTCGCCCAAGAGAGCCCCAACAAAAAAACCAGAGGCGCTCAGAGCCAGCCCCGAAGCCCCTGAAGAGCTGCCAAAAAGCGCTCCCAGAAGGTCCAAGAGGCGAACTTCCGAGCTCGGACAGGGAACCACAATTTAGGACCCCCCCATTTTGGACCGATGGCCCTGAGGACGGCCCAAAAACTCCGAGACGGAACGCTCCCAGAGGGCCCACGAGACGAACTCCCGAGCTCGAACAGGGAACCACAATTCAGGATCCCCCCCATTTTGCACCGATGGCCCTGAGACGGCCCAAAAACTCCGAGACGGAACGCTCCCAGAGGGCCCACGAGACGAACTCCCGAGCTCGAACAGGGAACCACAATTCAGGATCCCCCCCATTTTGCACCGATGGCCCTGAGAAAAGCCCCAAAAACTCCGAGACGGAACGCCCCCAGAGGGCCCACGAGACGAACTCCCCGAGCTCGAACAGGGAACCACGATTCAGGATCCCCCCCATTTTGCACCGATGGCCCTGAGAAAGGCCCAATGAGCTCCGAGACGGAACGCAAGAGAGGCCTCCGAGATATCGTGGAACCTCCCTGGGGCATCTCGGGGCGTTCATGGGCGGCCAGATGCCGCCCCCCCCCTCCCCTCTGGGGGCCTCCTTGTGGCCCTTGTGGGCGGCCCTTAGCTGAACCGAGGATCTCGAGGAGCATTATGGAATCCAACAGGGTGGCCATCATCAAAATAATTCCAATGTTCCATGAAGAAGCCAGGAACTGAGGGCTCTGGGGGTCTCTCTGGGCCCTATTGTGGCCTCCTCGGGTCGCCTTGCAAGCATATGTGATGCTCTTGGGCCCTCGTGGTCCCTGAGTCGGGCGGGGTCCTGCTTGTACAATGTATGCACGGAGATGCAAGGGGTCGTGGGAGTTGTTACGAGGTGCTGGGGGAGCCACGGGAGAGGATCCAGGAAGGTTCCAGGAGAGGATGGGAGCCTTTAGGCAGATGCCCCATGTGGCCAAGTGTCGCGAAGATGAAATGATGGTTGTTGGGGTTGCAGTTGTAGCGGTGGAGGGAGTTCGGGCACGATGCGCGCACCCTTGAAGCCATGATGTCCGATTGATCTGGTCATGAGTGCTGTACTCACTGACTTCAAAATCGCGCAGCTGGTCCTGAGTATACAAGACTGACATCAGGCGGTTGGCGCGATGAGCATCAGCTTTTGAAGGGGGCGCACATGATATATCCAATGCCCCATGCCAGCGGAAATGGTCCCGCATGGGGCTGGCGGAGGAAGACGCGGAGCAGGACGAGGAGGACAACAGCGACAATGTTGCAGAGAAGTCCGTACGTTCCTGCTCGTTCTCTGTCAGGGAGCGGAAGACCAGGTCGTGCTTCAGGGGGTCCTGAGCCTGTGCGGAGCGCGCAAAAGATAATGCTCGACCCCCGCAGGAGCCTCCCGATGGAATGCCCGAGGTGTGGTGACCGAAACCATGATTCACATTAGGTCGGGCGTGAAGGGGCCCCAGGACACACAAATAAATACACACAAATAAAATAATTCCCTATATTTTCCCATATTTTCTGGCTTTTTGTCTTCCCCCCCACTTCCCATATTTTCCCATATTTTCCTGGGAATCGACGATTAATTGTGTCGGTGTGTTTCTTTCCCTCCTGAGGGCGTGTCCTCCTACAGGCGGATTTTGGAAGAAACGTCAAACACAGTCCAACACATCCAGGAATAGCCAAAAGAGCACGAGGCGTTGCCGACGGACCATCTCGTGAGTACTATCATGAACATGCCTCCTGTAGAGGGACATGCCCGACTTCAGATCAGCGGGAAGCTGACACGCACTGCACGCACACGGCTGGATTCGCATGCGGGGCAACCAGAGGCCGCGCGCTCGGTAGAGGCCGACAAAACCCTGCGGGCCAGGCCACACAAGGGACGACAACTGGAACTAGATCTGGCCGCGCGAGTATGCGGCTCCCGCCCGGGCTGGCCGCGTCACTGAAGGGGCCCTGGGACACACAAACACATACACACACACACAACAGGATTCCCCATGTATTTATCTGGGTATTTATCTTCCCCCCCACTTCCCCCCCCCCACTTCCCACGTCTGTGTCAGTGGGTGTGTGTGTGTGTATGTGTATGTGTATGTGTATGTGTGTGTGTGTTTTTGTTCCCCCTTTTGAGGTACGTCAGGCTCGTGCCGTGCCGACTTCGGCGTCGGTCTCTGACACCGCGGGGGTCGTTCAACCCCGAACGGTCGGCCGCTTCCGAAACGTCCAAGTCGTTCCACGTCGAACGATTCTTGGAGGCCTGGAAATGGGCACCAACACCAACACAGGGGTTTGCCTCCACAGGGGAAAGAGGATCCTGGATTTCGGTGTTGGTGGCAATAGTTCGGTCACCTTGGAAGCCAGAATATTACCACCACCACCGAGATCGGGATCCTCTTCCCTCGGTGGAGGCACACCGCCGATCTTGGTGTTGGTGTCAACCTCTAGGCCTGCGAGATTCTGGGTCGCCCGCGGCGTTCCAGGTTGAACGCCGCTGGCGGGGTCGCTGCCGGACGACACGGCACGAGCCTGCCGTACCCAGGCCTCCGAGATCTCGCTCGTGTCTGTGCGCGGCCCCTGGCAACTCCGACCCTTGTCCATCCTGGATCATCGCTGGTTGCCCAAGGGGCCCGGCGAGGGACCCCAGATGCCGAAAGTGGCGAAAAGCATCCGCCCGGATGTTGCCCGATACGCTGAACCTCTGGTCAGCGTTAGGTCGGGCATGCCCCCCTACAGGCAGATGTTGGAGGAAAGATAGGAAATGGGGAAAGATAAGAAATAGTCAACAAGTGTTCAAACAAAGTATCAAAAACTGAAAAGTCGTCCCCAGACTATTTTTAAATATTTTTGAATTCTCCTTCTGTAGAGGGACAGGCCCGACTAAGGCTAGCGCGGAGTTGCATTCTCGAAGTCGGCGCCATTCGTAGGGGCGAGAACGGGGGGCGGGAACGCCAGGATGTGGTCGAAATCGGCGCGCTCTCCCAAACGCCGACACGACACCCCCAACATGCTGGAGACCGATCGAACAATTTCGGCCGGCGCCCACCGTGTATGAATAACGAGGGGTATGTCGACCCCCATCCCAGGCTTCGTCGGCTTGGGGCTGGACCAGGCGCATTTGGGGCCCAACCCTGGGATAAGAGGAGGAGGAGGAGGAGGAGGAGGAGGAGGAGGAGGAGGAGGAGGAGGAGGAGGAGGGGGAGGAGGAGGAGGAGGAGGAGGAGGAGGAGAGAGGAGGAGGAGGAGGAGGAGGATTACACGATGGGGGGCGCCCATCCTCGAAAGGGATACCTCCCGATAACTAGCCCCCCCTGGGGTGCATCGTAGGCCTCCGCCCTCCTTCGGAGCGGCCAGACTTTTCTCGGGCGGAGCTCGGGGAGACTCGAGGAGAAGCCTCGCCCCGGCGACACCCGAGGAAGAACCACCGGCACAGACACAAACTTTCGACGGCCCGCGCGGATTTCTCGGATCCGCGCTGGACACACCCCTCCCTGGCGCGCGGAGCGCGCCAGGGGGGCGGCGCCAGAGGCGCCGCCAGGGGGCGCTCTCCAGCGCAGATCTAAGACATCCGCGCAGGCCGTCCAGGGTTTATGTTTTTCATCTCGTCTTCTCACCTTCGAGATACGACCCAAAGTTGATGTTTCTGTCTTCTCACCTTCGCGTTCGAGATATGACCCAAAGTTGATGTTTCTGTCGTCTCCTCACCTTCGCGACACGGCTTCCTATGCCCCCTTTGCTCCAGCCGCCTCTCGCGGAGCGCTGGAGGCCGAGCGCACCTCTCGTCGGGAGCGGCCAAGAGGGGGGTGTCCAAGAGGGGGGGGTGCAAATCATGACCGGCGGCACGTGCGCGGCCCAGCGGGGGGGCCAGGGACGTAATGAAATGAGAAGAGGCGCCATGAGATCTGGGGAAATATCATGGCCCCCGCCATGATATCCACCCCCCCCCTAGTCATCACCCCCCTCTTTTCCGCCCCCGACTCTCGCGGAGCGCTGGAGGCCGAGCGCACCTCCGGCCCCACAACGGCAGGCTCTCGCCGGGACGAACCCCTTGGCGTCGGGTGCCGACGCCAAACCTTCAGCAAGGGCGCCCAGCTTCGCGCCCTCGCGCCGCGCCCCGGGGGAGGAGGGGAGCACGAGGGCGCCCTGGCTTCAGCACTGGCCGCCCACGGGGGCATCGCTCGGACGTCCCTTTCCTGTTTTTTGTTCGGTTTCGTGCGTGTTTTTTTCGCCAAACGATCAAGGATGCTCCTCGATGGTCCTCGCCGAAAGAAAAATGCACACGTCCGAGCGATGCCAAGGCCCACGGGGGCATGGTGGTGGAGTGGAGCTGCTCTCAGAGGGCTCCGGATGGCCCGCCGGCCCTCGGGCCCTCGGAGAATCTCTCCAGATCGTCGCTCGGGGGCCGCGGGGGGCTTCCGAGAAGGACGGATGGCTTCTGAGGAGCGCCACCCTCGGGGAAGGCCCGGCCTCTCTCAGCACCCCGTCGGCGCGCCGCCGGGGTCGGGTTCTGACCGTGCGGATCGTTCAACCTCGAGCGATCGGTGGCTTCTCGATCGCCAGATCGCTCCACACTGGCCGAATCTAGGCCACTGGCAGCGTTCACCCTCCAACGCCCGCGACGGGTCGCTGCCGCGTGGGCACGGCACCAGCCTGCCGTAACCTCCAGCCTCCAGCCTGATGAAAGACGCCTCAGCTGGGCAACGCACATGCGAATTCGGGAAGATCGTCCACCCTTCAGACTCACTGTCGGGGCTCGAATTCGACGCTTCACCCATCGAGAGGTGCACATTGAAGAAACGGAGAAGACGGATATGAGATTATGGAGCAAGGAAGGTGAGGCCTCTGGTTGTCTCTGGAGGTCGTCGGGTTTTTCCAGGAGCCCCCCCAAAGAGCCAGAGACGTCAGAAAGGAGAACGATGCAGAGGAGGAGGAGGAGGAGGAGGAGGAGGAGGAGGAGGAGGAGGGGGAGGAGGAGGAGGAGGAGGAGGAGGAGGCGGAAACAACGTCCGCCAGAACTGCGCCCACCGCGGGCGGGCCGCGCCCAGGCAGTTCAGATGGTGTGCAGGCGAGCTGTCACGACTATGGCTCAAATTATGCTGTGTGTGGCGAAGCAGCACTAAGCGCTTCGCGGCATTCTTTTTGTTCTGCAGCGCGGCCACCGTACTGTCCGCTCGCGGCGTCGACATTCCCGCCCACGCAAAACCTAGGCGGATGCCAGAGACCCGGGAGGCAAGCAAGGGCCCAGGCGGCCTGTGCAGCAAGAAGAAGATGAGGAGGAGGAGGCGGAGGAGGAGGAGAAAGAGGAGGAGAAAGAGGAGGAGGAGGAGGAGGAGGAGGAGGAGGAGGAGGAGGAGGAGGAGGAGGAGAAAGAGGCGGAGGAGGAGGGCGACGAGGAGGAAGAGGAGGGGGATGAGGAAGATGAGCTGGGCGAGCCCTCCTGGCAGCCCCCCCCGCTGCGGTGGACGCCGCAGTAGCAGAGCCTGGAGATATGATGCATCCATTTATTCGATACGGGGCTCCCGAAGGTCCCGGCCCTTTCCCCAGGGCCCGCGCTGCATCCCGAGAAACTGTTTGCTGGCCCCGGGGCCCACCGAGGACCCCGTGCTTGAGATGATCAATACGTTGGAGGTCTGGCGGTGGATGCGGCGGAGAAAATGGGGAACTAACAATGACATAAACATAAAAACTCGGAGGTCCGCGCGGATTTCTCGGATCCGCGCTGGACCCCCCTGGCGGCGCCTCGGGCGCCGCCCCTGGCGCGCTCCGCGCGCCAGGGAGGGGGTCCAGCGCGGATCCAAGCAATCCGCGCGGACCTCCGAGTTTTTATGCTTATGCCATTGCGTTGGGGAGGGGCTCCGCGTTCCTTAATTCTTTCGCAGCTGGCCTTGGATGTTCCTTGGGTTTTCGATGCGAAATCGAAGTTCAACTTCTGGAAAATAGGGGCTTCGTTCCTTATTTAGGGTTCCTTAGGTCAACGCCCCCCTAGAGAAAGAGGAGGGCGGCGAACGGGGCAGGAGAGCCCAGAATCGAATCGACAAATCGCATCGGCGATCGACATGCATCGGATCGGCGGAAATCGGCAGCCGAGTCGGAAAAAGTCGAATCGGCGGAAATCGGCAGGTTAGCACGCCTACAAAAAGGACTCGGAGCCCAAATCGGAATCCGACATCGACTCGAATCGGAATCGGAAGCCATCGAAATCGAATCGAATCGAAGGAATCGAACGGAGCCCTGAGAAAGCGGAGGGCGGCGAAAGGGGGCCGGCGCGGCGGGGCAGCGTGCGCAGGCGGCCGCCTTCAACAGGAACATCTTGCCGCTGCCTCGGATGCGCAAAAGTGTGGCTTTTGGAGCGGACGGGCTGGCGGAGAGACGCGGCGAAGGCCCCTCCTCCATGCTCCTCCTCCTCCTCCTCCTCCTCTTCCTCCTCCTCCCCGTCCCCCTCTCCTCCTCCTCCTCATCCTCCTTCTCCTCCTCCACCTTCTCCACCAGATGGGGTCCTGCTGGATGGGGTCCTAAGGACGAGGTGCTTCAAACAACGTAAATCCACCCTCGGGTCCATGTCTATCACTATAGGACCCCATCCCTCAGGACCCCGTCTTTGAACCACCGACGCCCCTTCTCCTGCTCCTCCTCCCTCCCCCCCCCACTCCCTCCCGATGCACTGGGACACTGACGGCGGCAAGGTCCTCGTAGAGGAAAAAGAACTATGCACATACACCGATTCTGGCCAGGCCCATCCTGAGCCCAGGATCGGTGCATACGCCATCCTACCTTGGCCAGGAAGGCATATGCACCGATCCTGGGTCAAGGATCGGCCTTGCCAGGATTGGTGCATGTGCATAGTTCTCGTCGCCCGATCCTCGGACGTAGCCATCCCCCCGCACTGCCCTGGGTGGGGGGGGGTCCAGCAAACGAGCCGGGCGACCCCGAGGCCGCCGCCCCTGGAGCCGCCGGCGGATGGGGCACGCCGCGAAGAGGCAGGAGGCAAACGACAGCGGAGGACAGCAAGAGGCAGGCGAGCGCACGAGCGAGCAGGCGCGAGGAGGGAAGGGATCATGACCTTTTCGGCGGGGGGAGGACGAGGGAGGCGGCGGTTGCGCGAGTGTGGGGCCGCAGCTGTGGGTGCAGCTGGCGCGGCGGCGGCCACGCTCGCCAGGGTGCACAGCACAGAAACCTCCCCCCCCGCCCACAGGACCCCCCCACAGGCATCCGTCAGTCCCGCGAGTGGTGCAGTGGAGGCCCGCCCACGAGAAGCCTGCCACAGGAAGCCCGACCCCGAGACCCCAGGGCGTCCACCGATTTTTCGTGCGTGAGCGCGCACGACGTCCCTTGGCTCGGACCTCCGCTGCACCCCCGCCGGCACAGCGGGCGTCGGGCACCCCGGCCGCGGGACGGGTGGCCGCCGGTGGGGGGACCCACCGAGCGCGGGAGGGGGAGGTGTGTCAAGTCCGTGGCGGCGGCCCGGGTCCCTTTTCGGGCACCCCCTCCCCGGACATGCCGCCCAGCACTTCCGCGACGTGCAGCGGAGGCCAGTCCACAGGGAGCCTTCCGCCAGAAGCCCAACCCTGAGACCCCAGGGCGTCCACGGATCTCTGGTGCGGGAACGTCGCGCTCTCCATGGCAAACCTATCGGAACCCAAGACACCCAGGGCACCTCGGAGGCGAGCAGGGTGTTTCTTGGCATGGGCCCCCACTGTGATTACTACCCCCGCCCATCCACCGCTAGTAGGCAGTCGTCAGCTGGCTTTTGTCCAGAGGTGAAGCAGGCAAGAGGTAGTGGGCACAAAGCTGGGAACTGATCCGGCAGTGAGGCGACGAGGGTCACTGGTAGGGTGGCGAAGCCAACGCTGCTGTGAGCCGGCTGCTGAAGCAGGCGCGGCTGGTGTGGAGCGGCCACGGTGAGACCATTTGGGGGGAATGAATGCTACAATGAGTGCGCTGTGGTTACTAGCGCTGACACCTGAACTTGGCCAGCGCCATGTCTGCCGGCTCCTGCTTTCCCTGTGCCTACCCACAGACCCACCCCGAGCCCCGTCGAGCCACCCGCCACCCGCACTGGTAGGCTGTTGTCAGCTGGCAGACAGTGAAGCGGGCTGGAGGTAAAAGGCTTGAAGCTGGACAGAAGCTGTCGTCAGCTGGCTGTTCAGAAGTCAGGCAGGCCAGAGGTGAGAGGTTCGAAGCTGGGCAAAACATCTGGTAGTGAGAGCAGCGAGATTGGCTGGAAGGGTGGCGAAGCCAACGCTGCTGTGGGCTTCCTGCTGATGCTGGTGAAAGCTAGCGCGGAGCGACGAGGGTGATACCTCTTTGGGCGAATGCCAAGAAGAGAGCGCTGTGGGCACTGGCGTTGCCGGCTGTACTTGGCCAACGCCATGTCTGCAGGCCGTTGCGTCCCCTGTCACTACCAACCTCTCGCCTATCGCCCCGCCACCCCTCCGCCACACGAGTGGGCAGGTGAAGGTCAGTGGCGCGAACAGCGGGGTGGGCCGTATCGACGAGAAGGGAGCCAGGAGGGAGCGAAGATTGGGTGGAGGTGCCTCGTGTGTGCTAGCATAGCTGTATAATTGGCGTAGCATGGCCGCCCCTGCCTTAGCAGGCCGAATTGAAACAGCGGCAACTCAAAATCGGCCCCTCAACCCCTCCTGGGGCCCAAACGCACCAGTTTCCCGAGCTGCGTTGAGCCGTGGCGACGAGGACCCCCTGAGAGCCAAACGCTCTTGTCTCAATTCGCCCTCCTCTGACAACGCATCGAGCACATTGGAGAACAGCTCAGCAGAGCCCTCGGCGGTTCATAGTTCACGCTCGGGGATCTACTGACCCGGGTCCACGCAAGATCCTGCAAGATCCTGCGGGATCCTGCGGGATCCTGCACCCACGCCCAAGTCACAATCCGGCGCTCTGGGTGACCCCCGTTGGCATCGACCCCCGTCTCTGGAGCCCCGGTCAGCGACGGCGGGGCGGCCGGGGGAGGGCGCCGCGGGTAGTCTCCATGCTGTCCGCTGGGAGCTGGTCGCCGAGGGCCTGGCAGAGCTCCTGCAGCTGCCTCACGGTGTCCTGGCGGGCGTCAGCCCCGACAAGCGCGCGTCGTGGAATCACACACAGGCCTCGGCCGAAATTCGCGAACACTCATGCCGCATGCATCTGCCAATGCCCCCCCCCAATGATCAATGTTGGCGGTGGGTCGAATGAGCTACACTTCGACCGCAGCCTTCCCCGCGCGTGCCAACTTGGAGTTAGTAGTGGGAAAACAAACCTACCTCGCTTTTGACCACCCTCGCTTCCAAGAGATACCAAACGATGCCAAATTGCAGCACGTACTGGTCAGGCCGCTTGACGAGGAGGCGCGTGGTATGGCTTGGTTTTGCCTGGAAGCGAAAGCGGGGTAGGTCATTAACGCTCTGAGTTGGGGGTAGCGGGGGAGTGTCCAATACTTGTGCCCCTCTGTCGTCAGACGGGCGCTGTTTTTTGCCATGCTCGACCTCGGAGCGCCCTCCCCCGCTCCCGGGGCCGCCGAGCGCCGCCTCGGGAGGAAAGAACGCCCCTGGGGCAGGGGTCGGGTTTCTCCCCCTGCTGGCGGACTCTGGAGGAACGATCGAACATAGTCAAAGAGTCAGCAACCATACAAAAAAACTCAAGAACAGTCTCCTGACTATTTTTTCTCTACTGCTATGAAATAGATAGGAGGAGGAGGAGGAGGGGAGGAGGAGGAGGAGGAGGAGGAGGAGGAGGAGGAGGAGGAGGAGGAGGAGGAGGAGGAGGAGGAGGAGGAGGGGGGGCGGGGGGGAGGAGGGAGAGGAGGGGGGGGCGGGGGTAGAGGAGGAGGAGGGGGTCCCCTGTAGAAAAACGGGCATGCCCGACTGAACCCTGGGGAAGGGGTCGGGACTGCCGTGGACCAACCGCGCACTGCAAAGGCCAAGGACCTCGCATGCTCGGGCGCACGAAAATGAAGGAAAGTGCCAGCCCATGTGCGGGAGACGCACCCAGCAGCCTCGCACACCGGGGCGCCACCGTGCCACCTTCGTACCTTAGGAGGCAACTGCTGGGAGGTCTTCGCCGGAAAGGTATAAAGGCGGATTCAGCCGCAGTGGGAGGCTGTTACGCCGGATTGGGCCTGGAATGAATCCGGATTCAGCGAGACTAAACGGGATTCAGCCAGATTAAACGGGATTCAGCCGGATTCCCTGTACTCGAAATTCCCGTTCCCGAAACCAGGGTCAATGGACAATTACCCCAGGCTCGCGCTGCCGAAGCAACAGCCCTTCATACATTGGGCAAAATCCTGCTCCCGCAACCGAAACCCTTAGTTAATTACGCCGGACTCGCGCTCCCGAAGCAATAATCAATCGTAAATTACAGCGAGCGCAAGCTCCCGAGCCCATAATCCTTGCATGCACTACGTCAGATTCGCGCTGCCAGGGCCAGGTTCTCGTGTAACATACGCCAGGCTCGCGCTCTGAGAAGGGAGCAATTGCGTTCAACAACAGCTCCAACACCTCAAGGTCCTTGCTGAATGCCCATCGACCTCGCATGATGAAATTTTCAAAACCACGCCGACACGTCCCGGCATAGCTCTGACATCTCCTGTTGTGATGGAGAGGGGGCCAGCGGCAGAGGGCGAAGCCCTTGCGGACAAGCAGGAAAGAGGAAGGACAATACGTGCCTCAAGCGGAGGGGGCGCAAACGCTCACGCGAACAGCTGGGGAAGGGGGCGAAGGCAGGAGCGGGGTCATCCTCCTTCCTACTCTCCGCCTGGCTCACCTCTCCCCTCGTCTCACACGAATAGCTTCCTATGCCATCCTACTCCTCCTCCTCCTCCTCCTTCACCTTCCTTGCCCTCATTTATCAATCATTTCCCCTCCTCCCCCTGTTCCTCGTTCCTCCTCCTTCCTCCTCCTTGCCCTCATTCTTCCTCCTTCCTCCTCCTTGACCTCTTTCCTCATTCCTTTCCTCCTACCTCCTCCTATTCCTTCCTCCTTTCCTTCCTCCTTTCCTCATCCTTCCTCTCTTCCTCTCGTCCTCTCTTCCTCCACCTCCTCCTCCTCCTCCTGCACCTCATCCTGCTCCTCCTGCTCCTGCTCCTGCTCCTGCTCCAGCTCCGCCTCCTTCTCCTCCTCCTCCTCCTCCTCCTCCTCTTTTTCCTTCCCACCAGAAGTATGCCTGATCACACGCGTTGCCGCACACGTGTGGGAGTGGATGGGAGGGGGAGTAATGGCAGAGGACGAGCGGCAGTCTGAGGAGGCTGCGCAGGGAGCTACACTAGAATGCAATCAAGCAGCCTCCCACCCCCCAGGGAAGGAGGATGAGGAGGAGGAGAAGGAGGAGGAGGAGAAGGAGGAGGAGGATAGGTAGGAAGAGGCGGAGAGGGGAGTGGGACGGTGGCATGAGCGCGGACGCTGGTCTCTTTCAGCGGAAACGAACCGATGGTGCGCAAGAGTGTGAAGCCTGGCGCAGAGCATAGTCGTGTCCACTGGGACGGTGCATAGGCAAGAAACCTGGGACTGGGGAAACCAACAGGCACCGATATCGCTACACCCCGGACCTCTCCCGGGGTGCGCTCTGACCAAGGTTTCGAATCTGGCGGTGGCGACGAGGGTCTCCCAGGAGGTGGAAACAAGGGGAAGATGGGCGAAGGGTAGCCGTATGGGTACCTTTTCCTCTGCTGGGGGGCAAACCAGGGGTCCTCGGGGTACAGGAAAGCCATGGCAAGCCACATCTGTTTCGCAAAGGATCCGCGGCGCCCACTGATGTGGACAAGCGCGCTCCATGATTCGCAATGTAACTACTTGCAAATGACCTGGATCCGCCAAGGGGGACCAACGATCCATTACATAGAGGACGACATATGTTGTTTTTCAAACGTTTGCGAGAAGGTACTTTGCGAGTAAATAGAGGCCTCCTAGATAGATGTCCGAGTAGATGGGGTCGGAGGATCGCGCAGCATCGCCGATACATCGGCTACACATCGGCGATGCATCGGCGACCTCGGCGATGCGTCGGCGACGTCGGGCTCCGCATCGAGCCGCAGCGTCGATGCGTCGGCGATGCGGCACGATCCTCCGACCCTACCTACTCCGACCCATCCAGGAGGGGAGGAGGAGGAAACTAAGGATGAGGATGAGGATGAGGAGGAGGAGGAAGAGGAGGAGGAGGAGGAAGAGGAGCAGGAGGAGGAGGAAGGGGTAGGAGGAGTAGGGGTAGGAGGAGGGGAGGAGGAGGGAGGGAGGAGGAGGAGAGAAGCTGAGGAGAGGATGATGATGATGAGGAGGAGGATAGGAGGAGGGAGAGGAGGAGGAGAAGGAGGAGGAGGAGGAGGGAGGAGGAGGAGGAGGAGGAGGAGGAGGGGGAGGAAGAGGACGTCTGGGAGGCCAAGAGACTCCGACCCCATCCAAGGAAGCCTAGAATAGCGGAACGCGGCCGCACGGGAGCGGCGGAGGCCCCTGGGGCGACTCCAGGCCGGGGAGAGAGGCAGCAGGCGCGCGATGCAGGCGCTAGCGGCGGCGCGCAGCCCTTCCCCTCCTTCCTCCTCCTCCTCCTCCTCCTCTCCTCCTCCTCCTCCTCCTTGTCCTGCTCCTCCTCCCTGTCTGCTCCTCCTCCTCCTCCTCCTCCTCCTCCTCCTCCTCCTTCTCCTCCTCTTCCTCCCCCTCCTCCTCCTCCGCCTCCTCCCCCTCCTCCTCCTCCTCCTCCTCCTCCTCCTCCCCTCTCCCTCCTCCTCCTCCTTCCTCCTCCTCCCGCTCCTCCTCCTCCTCCTCCTCCTCTTCCTCCTCCTCCTCCTCTTCCTCCCTCTCCTCTTCCTCCTCCTCCTACTCCTCCTCCTCCTCTCATCCTCCTCATTCTCGTCCTCCTCCTCTTCCTCCTCCACCTCCTCCTCCTCCTCCTCCTCCTCCTCCTTCTCCTCATCCTTGTCCTCCTCCTCCTCCTCCTTCTCCTCCTCCTCATCCACCTCCTCCTCCTTCTTTCCCTCACTCGGAGCATGACGCCGCCGGGCACAACCCTCGCAGCCCGTGGGCAGCAGGCCCGCGCCGTGGAGCCTCCCTATAGAGACCTCCTAGATGTGGTCCGAGTAGATGGGGTCGAAGGATCGCGCCGCATCGCCAATGCATCGGCGATGCATCGGCGGTGCGCGTCGAAGAAGTCGGCGATGCATCGCCGATGTCGGCGTGGGGAATCACGGCCAGCACCACCCCCGCAGCCCGTGGGCAGCTGGCCCGCATTCGGTGGCAACTCACGGGAGCCTCCCGCGTCATCCCGTCGGCTCGTGCGGATCGAGCTGGTCGACGCCAAAGCGACGCTCGTCGACGCTAAATCGTCGCTAATAGACGCTAGCCGACGCTAGATCGGTGCTATCTCATCGACCCCCAGACGCGAATCGACGCTCAGGACGAGCTTCAGAGGGTATACCAAGCTCCTGTGAATTTCTACTGAGACCGCACCATAGAACCTTCCCCTCCTGCTCAGTAGGCGGGAATGACCCCCCGCACCCATGAAACCCGGTAGGGCACAACCGGCGGGCGCCCACAGCGGGGCCGCACGGCAGACGAGGGACCAGACCCCGATGACCAAACTGCACCACCCAGGGACAAACCCAGGGAGTGCAGTCCACGGGCTAAGGGGCATCAGTCATTCCTGCCGCAGCGCAGCAGAGAAGGAGGGAGGAGGGGGGAAAGAGGAGGGAGGAGGAGAAGGAGGAGGAGGAGGAGGAGGAGGAGGAGGAGGAGGAGGAGGAGCAGGAACAGGATCAGGAGGAGCGGGAGGGGGAGGAGGAAGAGGAGGAGGAGGAGGAGGAGGAGGGAGGGAGACAGGAACCACTGGTGACTGCATTTGGGCAAGATTACATCACATCCTGCAGCTCGCAATGCCGAGCCGAGGAGGGGCGGAGCGAAGGGAGCCCCGTCCTTCATCATTGCGTCTGGGTCGCGGTACGGGCTCTTCGTCTCGTGCTTCAGCTTGTGGCACCAGGCGCTGACAGGGGATCCTCCTCGGAAAAGGGCATCCGGGTACGGAGCTGGAGCTCCCGCGGCGGGGAAGAGGGTGGCAAGGGGGACGGACGAGGGAGGGAGAGGAGGATCCGCTCGACACTTGCAACAACTGCGAGGACTTGGGCGCCCGAGTTATCCGGGGCAACTCGGGTCCGGGGTAAGTCGGGCTTGGATTCCCGAAAAAAGGAACCCGAGTTAGCCCTGACCCGAGTCACCCCTGATGATTCGGGGCTCTGGACGCCCGAGTTATCCGGGGTAACTCGGGTCCGGGGTAACTCGGGTTTGGATTCCCGAAAAACGAACCCGAGTTATTCCTGACCCGAGTTACCCCTGATGATTCGGGGCTCTGAAGGACCGAGAGCGGCCCGCTCCCCATCACACCGCGCGCCCCTCGCACTGTGCGAGCCATGCCTTGCGCCTCAGGTGCCAAGCCCATGCGCAGATCTCAGGCGGCTGCTTGCATCAATTAGGTCGAACATGCCCTCCCACAGGCGGATTCTTGGACGACAAGTACGAACATGCTCAAAGAGGGTTCAAGCATACTCAAACATATTTGTAAACAAATCGTCACCAGACACTGTTGCTACTACTTTTGATGGTTCCTCCTGTGGAGGGACACGCCCGACTTAATGCTTGCATGCTGCTTCTCAGCACCTCACCCTCTCCCTCGGCGCCGTGGGCCCTCCTCCCACCCCCCCTCCCCCGACCACACAGAGGGTGGTCCCGCAGGTGGCCGAGGACAAAGACGTGGACCCGACTCCTCCTCCTCCTCCTCTCCTCCTCCTCCTCTCCTCCTCCTCCTCGTCCTCCTCTCCTCCTCCTCCTCCTCGTCCTCCCTCCTCCTCCTCCTCCTCCTCCTCCTCCTCCTCGTCTCCTCCTCGTCCTCCCTTCCTCCTCTCCTCCTCATCCTCCTCCTCCTCCTCGTCCTCCTCTTCCTCCTCGCCTCCTCCTCCTCCTCCTCCTCCTCCTCCTCCTCCTCCTCCTCCTCCTCCTCCTCCTCCGCCTTCTGCGCCTCCTCCCCCTCCTCCTCCTCCCGACGTCGTGGTTTCTCGTAGCATGGACCTCCAAGGAGGTCCAGAGGCTGGCAATGCGAGAGCGCTGAATCATTCACACACTACACAAAAGTCCAGGATGCTCCCCTGTGGAGGGCCTCTTGGCAGGCGGTGGACCTGTTGGAGGTGTCATGGGGGCTTCCCCAGGGCTTCCTGGGCCTCCTCAGGCCTGGGGCTTCCTGGGAACATCTTTGGAGCCTTCTGGCGGCCTCCTGTGCTCCTCCTCCTCCTCCTCCTCCTCCTCTTCCTGTTGGGCCTCTTGCGTTGCCCTGATCCTGAGCCGCTCCTTGACGGCCTCGCGGCCTGGCAAGGAGCCCCCAGAGGCCGCAAGGTGCTCAAACCTTCCGTCGTGTTATTTTGGTTTGGCACGACGAGGCGGGGCCTAACTTCAGGCCGGCCCTGTCCTTCTACAGGCGGGCTTGGACGGAAAAGCAAGCAATAGAAACAACGTGCTCAGAAGCAATCAGAAAATTGTCGAAACATCGTCCACGGACTATTGTTTGGACTATGTGTTTGGCTATTCCTCCGGTCGAGGGGCATATGCCCGACTTGAGGCCCAACTCTCGAGTCCCACGACAAGGGGGCCTCCGGCGGTCGCCGGGCACCGCCGGCACCCTCTGCTATTAGGCGAGGCGCAGCTGCAGGAGAGCATCTCCAGGGGCCGGGAGAAGCGGGGAGACCTCCAGTCGGGGCGTTGACCTAAGGAACCCCGAACAAGGAACGAGGCCCCTCTTTTCCATACATTGAACTTCGACTTCCCATGCAAAAGCCTAATTCACGGAAGCCCGAGGCAAACTGTGAAACAATCGAGGAACACCGAGCCCCTCCCCAACGAAAAGCGTTCCCTCTTCAAGGCCCCGACTGTACGAGAAACGACGAGATCGTCCGAAAACCTCCAAGAAACGAATACCTCCAGAGGCTGGGAGACTTCCAAGAGCACCTCCAGAGGCTGGGATATCCCCAAGAAAACCCCCAGAGGCTGGGATACCTCCAGAGGCTGGGATACTTCCAAGAGACGATGAGATCGTCCGGAAACCTGCACATTCTGCGGCAACTCATGGGAGCCTCCCATACCAGCTTGTCGCCTCTTGCGAATCGACGCTCGTCGACGCTGCATCGACTCATCGACGCTTATTCGACGCTAATTCGACGCCAAGTCAACGCTATCTTGTCGACTCCCAGGCGCGAATGGAAACGGCTCGACGCAGAGCACGGAATCACGACGGCAGACAAGGCTCCCACGATCTGCGACCGAACTGAATGAGCACCCGCCGCGAGTGGGGAAACCAGGCGATACCGATGCCGCTGCTCCCCGGACCTCCCCCTGGAGCCGTGGCGACGACCGCCTCCCGGGAGGCTCCAAAAAGGCGAAAACCAAGGAAGGGTAGCACTAAGTCGGGCCTGTCCCCCTACAGATGATTTCTGAAGAAAAACCGAAAATAGTAGAAAAATACTGGGAAATTGTCAAACAGATTCCAAAAAATCGTCCCCAAGCATTTTTTACTATCTTCGAATATTCCTCCTGTAGAGGGACAGGCCCGACTGAAGGGTAGCAGTACAGGGAGCCGGAGAGAGTGGAAGTTTCAAAATCGGCTTGGAAAGCTGACAGGGGCCGAAAACGAGCCCGAGACAGTTGGGATGAGGTCGCGAGGGCTGGAAAAGCTGGAGGGAAACTGGCCAGGGCTGGAAAGAGTGAAAGGGCTGGTCATAGCCACTTTCCAGCTTCCCTGCGCCTTTTCTAAAAGAAGAACAGACGCCATAAACATAAACTTTTGCGATCCGCGCGGATTTCTTGGATCCAAGAACAGTCCCCAGCGCGCGGAACGCGCTGGGGGCGGCGCCGGAAGCGCCGCCGGGGGGGCCCAGCGCGGATCCAAGAAATCCGAGCGGAGCGCCAACAGTTTCTGCTTATGGCGTCTATTTTCTTCGATCTTCATCCTCTGAGAAGGGTACTCCAGATTTCGAAATAAAAGGGAGGGGGTCTGGACCCTCCAAGACAAGCCATTTCAGACCTCCCCCGTGGGAGAACCCTCCAAAACATCGTCCCCAGACCCCCCAGGCCCTCCAAGATAGCCTGGAAGAGACCCCCCCCGAAATGAGACCCCCCTCCCTTTATTACGAAATCTGGAGTAGGGGAGACGTAAGACTCGGGCACGGGGGACTCGGGTTGGCCTGACGGGGCCACCATGAAAACGACGAGACCCAACCCGAAACTTGACGTGAGCTCCCGCAGGAAACATCCCACAAGAACTGCACCGTCACAATCCAGGACGCGCTCGTAGGAGGAGTGGGAGGAGGAGGAGGAGGAGGAGGAGGAGGAGGAGGACGAGGAGGAGCACGAGGAGGAGGAGGAGGAGGAGGAGAAGGAGAAGGAGCAGGAGCAGGCGAAGAGGAGGAGGAGGAGGAGAGGAGGAGGAGGAGGAGAAGGACGAGAGGAGTAGGAGAGAGGGTATGAGGAAGAAGAGAAGAAGAAGAAGAAGAAAAAAGAAGAAGAAGAGAGAAGGGGGGCGAAATAGAGGGGGGGCGGAGGGGGAGGGCGGAGGGGAGGAGGAGGAGGAGGAGGAGGAGGAGGAGGAGGAGGAGGAGGAGAGGAGGAGGAGGTGGAGGAGGAGGAGGAGGAGGGGGAGGAGGAGGTGAGGAGGGAGGAGGAGTAGGAGGAGGAGGAGGAGGAGGAGGAGGAGGAGGAGGAGGAGGGGAGGAGGAGGAGGAGGAGGAGGAGGAGGAGGAGGAGGAGTCCCCCCGATGGGGGCAGCGCGCGCGTCCTGCTGGCGGCTGGGCTGGCGGCGCGGGCGTGCCCTTCTCGTCCGGCGGCGCTGGCGTGCTGGGCGGCGCGGGCGTGGTCTGCGGCCGCGGCGGCCGCTGCCCCCCAGCTCGGCGGCGAGACCCGGGGTGGGGGTTAATGAGAATTGACCGGGGATCTTCTGACCCGGGTCAGTCCAGACCCGGGTCAGTCAGGCCTGGCAGAATCCTGCAAGAGCCTGCACCCGAGCCCGGGTCAAATGCGAGAGGTCGTGCAAGAGCCTACGGGATCCTGCACCCAAGCCCCCGGGTCAATGCGACCCTGGCCCTGCAGGATCCTGCAAGATCGGGCGCTCTGGCTGACCCCAATTTGCATTGACCCCCGTCTCTTGAGCCCCGAATTGAGCAGGAACCGACCGTCCCGGCATTCGTATAGGCCTACCACGACAGGTTCTTAGAACCCAGAAATGTTCCAATAACCAAAACAATGTTCTTAGAACGTAAAACTGATGTGCTAGAATAAAACAGCCTCAGCCTGAAATGTTCGAGCCACATCTCTCGTGCAGACCATAAGAGGTTCTTAGAACATTATTTGGCGGGTCTATTGGCGAGCCAGGACGCTTCGCCACTGCTTGAGAGAAGGGGAAGGGCTTCTCAGAAGGCTCGGAACCCCCCTGGCCTTCTGAGAAGTGTTCTGACCCCTCCCACCGAAGACACCGAAGACTTCCAAGAAGGCGCGAGGCCTTCTGCGGAGTCTCGCCGCCTTCTGAGAACGCCCTCTCCTTCTCACTTTCCCCCCTCGCTCGCCGCCGACTCCCCGGTGAGGGCCAGCGGGCAGGTCACGGCCCAGGCCTGCGGCCGCGGCCTGCGGCCTGCGGCCAGCGTGATCTTTGCGAGGCGGGGGTTCCCCCGCACCCTCTGCCTCGGAAGCCGCCGTATCCAGGCATGGATGTGGATCTGTTTGGGCCCCCTGGGGCCTGAAACGGTGCACATCCGACGCCTGCCGAGGCCCCCGCCGCCGCCGAGGAGGAGGAGGAGGAGGAGGAGGAGGAGGAGGAGAAGAACCAGAAGGAGGAAGAGGGAGGAAGGAGGGGAGAAGGGTGGAGGGGGCAGGAGGGGGAGAGGTAGAGGAGG